CACACACACACACACACACGTTGTCCTGATTCTGAACCTGTCCCCGTCTCTGTCCCTGCAGCCCTCCGTCCTCGCCCTGTCCCTCCTGAAGCAGGAGATCCAAGCCGTCCGGTCTGAGGACCTGCTGGAGATCGCCTCCCACATCCAGAGACACCTGAAGGTAGGACACGCCCCCTGAAAGGTTTATTACACCATGACTCACCTGGAAAATACAGATCATCAACAGCCGAACAAATGTTTAGCTAAAAATTATCTTTTTAGTTTTTAAAACCTAAAATGTTCAGAACACTAGCTATATGAGAAACAACAGCTAAAATGTTCAGAACACTAGCTATAAGAGAAACAACAGCTAAAAGGTTCAAAAACACTAGCTATAACAACAGCTAAAAGGTTCAGAACACTAGCTGTATGAGAAAATCAGCAGCTAAAATGTTCAGAACAGTTAAAAGCCTGAAGATGCCAAACAATAGCTAAAAATACAACACCTAGAACAGTAGGTAAAAGCTAAGTTGAGCACAGTTTAATAAAAGTTTATTTACTTGTTGCAGATCAGTGGTTCACAGAACAGAATCTGTTAAATCCATTGTTTGGGGTTTAAAACCTTTTAAACTCAGGATTGTCTTTATAACTCTTCATGGTTGTRTGTTAGTAAAATATCTGATAAATCACTGAAGAATGTTCTGGGTCAAGAAGCAGAAACGTCTGTGGGTAAAAACAAACTCAGAGTCGATGTTTTCTTGGAGCAGCTGAAAACAGAACGTCCTGTTCCTGAAAAGCTCAGATTCTTTGGTTCTGATCGGCCCACAGGCGTCACGTGACCACCGGCCTCTCGGGTTTCAGCTCAAATCCTCTTAAACTGTTCCGATCTGTTTTCCTTTAACCTCCCGACCCGAGCGGGTTCTGTTTACAGCTGGAGGACACACGAGCTGACAGGATCCTGTTGGACACACTGGAGTTAACCTGAGGTTCTGTTTTCAGATCCCTGACAGCTACCTGCAGCTGTGGAGCGAGCGGGTGGCCCGCTGCCTGTCCGACTACGCCTCYCCTGAGTGCAGCAAGCCCGACCACAGGAAGCTGCAGTGGGTCGTGTCCCGGAGGACCGCCCAGAACCTGCACAGCCACCGCAGTGTCCCCGAGCTGCCCACCATCCCTGAGGACTGCTGGGACGAGAGCGAGAGGTCTCACACATGCACGCACACACACACACACACACACGCACACACGCACACACGCACACACGCACACACG